AGGCCCCCCACCCCCTGCTTACTGGCAGGAGCCCAGGTCCAGCTCCCTGTGGCTGACATGCTGCCTGCCCTGCATGCTTCAGCACCGAGGCAAGGGCCAGCCATAGAGACTCTCTGGCCGACTACCAGGGCATCTCTGTGGAGAGCCAAGCCTCCGGTTGCCTCAGGGCATGGTTCCATTTTTTCCCCTGCAGTTTTTTTTGCCCCCATGCTGCAAATTTGCAGCGCAGGGAACCTTTTTTTTGCTCCCGCACATGCCTCTTGCAGCATCTCAAAGGGCTTTGAAACACTGCAAGACACATGTGCACACTCGTGTGAATGTGCCCATAGATCCAGAAGTTACCAGATCTTACTAGCTAGTATATCCATTGTTCACTTTGAAAGGTTTCTTCAAATATTCTAAATGAAAGGAATCACTAAACAATACATGTAAATGATAGTGTGTATGTTCACTGACAGAGAGCAAAGTTAAGAAAACAAACCAAAAAACCATGTATACTTGTGCTGAAAAAATGGCAGCAGGGAACTTTGAACTTAAGCTCATTGGGCGTGTTTTATTTCAAAGTGCACTGCCACCATTTTGTCAGCATGGAGACACACGGTGACACTGATATACATGTTGCGCGGGGCTGCCAGAGCATGTCAATTTCGGTGCTCCAGCAGACTCGATTGATTGGATTTCCAGCATGTCGGAGCAGGCTCCCCACATGTGTGTGGAAGCCCTATGTGTGTATAGTTCAGATACCCCTCTACAAAGGATCCATGTGGTAATTAGCCCCCCACTTGTGACTGGAACCAGGTGTTTTGTCACAAGTGCTGGAATTCTCCAAAAATATATATGCAAATGAGGCACACAACAACTTGATTTGGCTCCACCTCATGGAGGGGCTCCATTTGGTGGTGTTTGACAGACATTTAAGGCTGGTGAAGTAATAGAAATCATTGGGAACAGGAAAGAAAGGCACCGCTGAGCTGCGAGAGTGAAGAGGAAGTTGAACCACTTTCATTGTAGTGGCTCACCATGTATTTAATGAGGTATCCTTGTATGTGAATATAAGACGAGGGGCTTTTTCCCCATGCTGATTGTGGGGAAAAAAACTTACCTTGTATTCTGAAGTAGCTGTAGAACTAAATTCCTGCATGTTCATATTAAAGGAAGCTGATGACAAGAATGCCAAATAGCAATCATAGTTACAAGTCAGAGAGAATACAAGATTTCAAGTATAAAGAAAATTTGTCATCTGTACTAGGAGTGTGCGAAGTAGGCCCTACTCTATTCAGATTTGGCCCAAATCAGGGACAGTGATTCAATTTGTTGATTCGGATCACTGTCCCTGATTCTATTCGATCAAATCCAAATCTGAAGATTCAGTGCTGATTCGGAGAATCAGCAACTCAGACTCAGACACAGACACAGCTTTAAAAGTTTTTTCTGCGTATCTTGAGGTACCAGCACAGCTTGTGAATTTTGCAATGCTGGGGCAGATGAAGCATCCCACAGGAGTGCAGGGGGGCCCTCTAAGTACTTCCGGTCCACTTCTGGGTCTGCCAGGGACCGTGCAGGAGGTCCCCCCTGCTCCCCCTCTGGCTCAGTGATCGGCTGCAGGGGGACCACGGGTGCCCCCCCAGACACAAGAGGCACCAGTTGCTGAGCCAGGATGGCTAGGGTTGCCCCCCATGTGCTCCCTGGCAGACCATGAAGTAGACTGGAAGTGCTTCTGGTCCACTTCCAGGTCTGCTGCTGAGCACGCTGAAGAGCCCCTTACACTCCTGTGGGACACTCCATGTACCCCAGCATCGCAGCAGCCATGACCTGCCTGCTACCTAGAGGTATGTAGAAATACATTTAAAGCTGTGTCTATGTCCAAATCATCAAATCTTTCCAAATCTCTCTGAATCAGTTTGGAGGGTTCCAATTCTATATGGAGAAATTAAAGGGTCCTCTGATTTGATTTGGAGATTCAGCCACCGAATCGGACCTAATCTCTGCCGAATCGAATCAGGGACCAAAGCTTTGCACAGCCCTAATCTGTACCAGTAACTATGTTATATATGAACTACCCCTAAAGCCTGTTCTTCCATGAAGAAAAGGAAGTTTCTCAAAAAACAGGCTTGCTTTGAAACATCCAAAATGGTACTAGTCACACTGTGTGATTATGCAGTTTCACTGGGAATGAAAACCAGCCAGAATCAGCAAGCTCAGGCCTTAGGTAGAGCTACATCAGTAGTTGTAGGAGGTATTGTAAAAGGAGTGGTTTAAAAACAAGCAGCTGTGATCAGAAAGCCAATGAAGTGCAGAGATAGTAGTTGACAGTTGTTTGCTCTGATATCCATTGGAGGTCCTGATTGTCTGCCCAGATCTCTGTCCTAACTTTCCTGTTGGTTTTTTTAAATGCTAACTTAATTTATTGTTGATGTTTTTGCTGATATTATGTTTTGTTTTAGATGATGTTATTTAAAGAGAAAGATGCAACTGTAGCCATTGGAGTCATGTCATATGACAGAAGTATAGCCTTCTGGGTATATCTAAACTATGCTTCATTCCACTCATGTAGACATGCCTGAGTTTGTTTTAAACTAGGTAATTTTGGTACTGTCGACAGTGTAGCTGTGGTATAGTGTCCAACAGGGGTTAACTCTCCAAACATTTACCCAGCTTCTTGAGTGAACTTTCGAGCTCTTGCTGAGCCCTGGGCTGCCACAGGTATTCTGCTGCTGAAACCCAAGATAGCTAAGTTAAAACTAGCACAGGCAAAACTACACAAACTGCAGTCACTGCAGAGAAGATAGATCCCCTGACATTGTCATGTGCCTGGGGAGGAGAAGGAAATACCTCTTGGTTATAATCACTCTCTGTAGTTCATTTTTATTTCACCAGCTATCTGTTATAAAAGGATAGAAAATTCCAAAGGAATATTTGGCGGAAAGTATGTTTTCCTGCCTTTCCACAGTCATTAGAGGTTTTGATAATACTTGCTTTCCTTTGTAAGGAGTCTCTCTAAATATTTGAGGAGCTCTCTTCCTTTCTCTTCTCCTTCCAAAGTTACTGTATTTTAGGGATTACAAGAGGTTAGAAGGGACAGTGCTCTGGCTCAGTGGGCCTTTTCTCAACTTTTCTAGCTGACAGGGAAATTTAGGGATGGGTTTTTCTGAAGTGTTCAGCATTGCCCTAAGTCTGCTTCTATTGAATCCACTCCCCTATGCCTCAATAGAATCAGAATTAGCCCAGTTCTATATATTTCTTTAAAATCCCATCTAGGTGTTTAGGCTCCATGACCTGTTTAAAATGTTTTCATGGTCTGTTGATGTTCTATATTAAAGCTACCTTTCTGATTCTTTCATCAATTAGCCATAAAATCTTCTGTCAGTGTGAATTGGCTTGTAGTTTCTTGTTGAAAAATGGTTGTGAAGTCTTCTAAGTATAGTTCAGAAAGTAAAAAATGCTAAGGAAGAGGATATGGTTGTAAGTTCATAACTAAATTGGGTTTTTTTTGTTTGAAAAAAGGTGTATAGCTGTTTGCTGTCTTGGAATTTGGATATGTGAAGAACTAACACAATGCACAAACCACGCCCAAGTGAAGGATGCAATAAATGTTATAGGTGTGACACTAAAGGTATTAAAATGGAATATATCTATGATTAACAGATGGAAGGTGTATGAAAATATTACTTGGAAAATTCACCAGTTATGTACTTAAATGCTTTTCTGACTCAGGATCAAGATGAGTGTTGTATTCTTGCATTCTGATGATTGATACTTCTGCAAAAGTGTGTATACTTTTCAATAGGTTTAAAATATTCTATGCCTGCATATTTGGCTTTTAAATATTTTTTAAAAAATGAGAGGAATTTGCTGTGCATGGAACTGCTCAGCAGTTTTTCCCTCCTTGAAGTTTTTTTTAGGACCCCTGTATATGTTTTCCAGCTGCACCAAAGACACAAAAAAAAGAAAAGAAAATGCACAGATATGATGAGTTGGCCACTCTGTTGCTGGAGATACTTAAGGTTAAATGCAAAGAACATACTGAAAAATAAGTATTTCCCCATCATCCCTAAAGCACAGCCCATGTGTACACAATTGAAATGAAATTAATGAAATGGTTTTACTTTAAATTTTAGTGAGGGAAGTGAATGTGAATCATAAACATTTTTATCCTTGCACAGTACAGTTGCTAACTAGGTACAATTTCTTTGACTGAAGACATGTAGGACTTTGTTAAGGAATAATACGTTCCTGCTAGTCTATAAATGCTCTGGCTAAGATGAGGCATTCATTTGAAAATAAGTTTTGATGGTAGGAAGGAGATTCTCTGAGATAGTGTTGAATGACTTCGGGTATCTTTCTAAACAATTGGTAGTTAGTAGACTGGGGGTGTGGCATGATTTTACTCAGTGTAACAGATTTTGGCATAAGTATTAAAAAAGTGTTTGCTTATAGTAAATAGAATGAACTCACAGGTGTTTTTAAATGCTAAACAATATTATTTAATAAATCTGCTGACACTTTTTACTAATGTGTTATCAGTAAGTACCATATGTACTTGACTCCAAGACAACTGTGAATTTAAGATGACACCCTCCCCCCCATTAATTAGATTCTATATACATTAAATGTTTAAATTTGTTATAATTTAGAGACCTACTTAATTCATGGTTTCACAGAAACCATGAAAGCCAGGATTGTCCATTAAATCAACAACAACCAAATTAAAATTAAATGCTGGGAGGTCCTTGATGCCAAGAGGGGAAAGCACTGGCCCAAAGGGCAGCAGACAAGATGGCAGATGCCCCTTCATCTCTCCTTTCCCCAGTGGGGCCTCTCCACCAATCAGTGCTGAGGGGCAGGCCCACCATGAAATGCCTGCAAAATGGGCTTTGCACACTGCAAGCAGGCTATAACAAACCCTTTGTCTTGCCACAGTTTAGGTAGGTCCCTAATTATAATTTTCCATGTAATTATTGGAGGGTTTTCTTAAATTCATCCCCCAACCCCCACTGCTGCAGTAGGGAAAGCCGGCGGGGGGGGAGGGGGGGGGAGTCAGGACACTGGTGGAGGCAGTGGGGGGCCCAAGGTGGGGAGGAAAGGTGGTGGGGGTAGGGAGAAAGGGAGGGTGCCCAAGGCTGCAGGGGATCAGAGGCAGGGGAGGGGGCAGCAAGCAACAGCTGCAGCTGCAGCTCCAGCCCCAACCCCAGGTCAGGATCAGAGCCAGAGTACAAGCAGCTGCCTCCCCCCTTCCCCCACGCCCCATTTCATATTCAGTTCTAAGATGAGATTTTTTTCACCCATGTTAAATGGGGGGAAACAGTTATCTTGGAATTGAGTCAATATGATAACCAAGCAAAGAAGAAATGGAAATCAACTTACATACTTTTAAATGATCGCTCAGTGATGATCTTTATTCTTAGCATGTATCTTTACATATGCGTGCTTGAAATTTAATGTTTGCAGGTATGTATTGATAAATACAAACCAAGAAGTCTAAATGCCTCATAAGAGAATGAAACATGATTTAAAAGAATTTACTATGTGAAACCATTTTAACTTCAAAAAATTCATACAAAGATTAACTTCTCACAGAAACAGATTTGGGATTATACTTTTTTAGTGATGGTATTACTTATTCACATAATAATGGATTCTATACTATGTGTTTATTCTAATTGTAGATGGCACAGGTCATAACATCTGTAGTTAAGTTTGTCTGATGCTTTCTTGTGTTTTCAGTTGCTTGCCAAATCGTAACTATTAAGGCTGAAATTGACCCATGCCTGATATCTGCCTGTGACTAATTTAATTATTTATTTATCTAAAGATTTCAGTTAAAATGATTCAGTTGTTCCCAAGAAAGAGAAGGGGAATGTATGTTGTTTTATCTGTGTTAAAAATAATATAATTGTTTCCTGAGAAGCCCAGTTCCAGGAGTACTTTGCTTTTTTAGTCAGAGGAGTAGGTGTCAGGAATGTGCCATTTGTTACCTTGGCAAAAATGTATTCAGCTGTGGTTAAATTCTAAGTTTTTAAATGGATCTAGTCTCCCCATCCTCAGTGGTGACTTGTTAGAGTTTAGCAGTTAATTCCCTGAAGATTTCAACTACACTGAGCATGCTTTGTCCCCTCAGAGACCTTACCTGGCAACTATTGGCACTTGTACACATACATTGAGGCTGCTCTGACGCGTTGTAATAACAGTGTGTCAGAGTAGACTCGATTAATCAAGTCTGCTGGAGCTTGGTAATTACCTCACTCCAGCAGACTCTAGTGTCACATGTGTCAGCATCCCCGTGCTGAAAAATGGCAGCAGGAGCACTTTAACTAAAGCTTGCTCACTGAGCTTTAGTTAAAGCACCCCAGCCACCGGTTTTTAGCACAGGGATATTGATACATGTGACTCTCCGGATGCTTTAATTAGAGAGGCTGTAGACGGCCTCCCAACCCCCACCTCCCACAGCACGTGTATGAACGCCCTCATGTTTTTGCATATACCATCTCTACAATTTGGCTGTGCAAGGTTCTGCATGCAATAATATATGACCATGTAATATAATGAAGAACATACACAACCAAGCCAAGTTAAGGCTACACTGATAACCTTCAATTTTCTCATTCCCTAGCACTGAGTATTGAATTGTGCTACTTTGACAATCTTTTACTCTAGTTTTTATGGATCTCATGATTTATAAAATAGAAAAGATTGTGGCACAAACTGTATGTAAATATTTTCTTCTGATATGGTGGTACTTAACTTTTTTTTTCTCTTACAGTTTTCTAATAAAATGGTAGCTCAGATAGCTTGTGATGTTCTACAACTGCTAGTTTCATATTGGGAAAAGATTCAGAAGTATGAATCCTCTCTGCCCCGGAAAATTACTGAAGTATGTCTATCTCTTAAAATACTGGGAATGACCAATACTGAAGTTCTGTATTACTTTTTAATAAAGAAATGTAATTGCATTTAATTTAACTCTAACTTCCCTTGGTCACTATTAAGAGAGGTGTCTGTGGTAGTTCCTGGAACATGATTGTTTTTTCTAGCTTGCACAAATTTCTTCTGAGGATAGAGTAATTGGAGGATTGGAACTTTGGACATATATACAATGTGATGCTGCGGCTAGTAAAGCGAGCAAAATGCTGGCTTGCATCCATAGATGCTTCTCAAGCAAATCCCGGGATGTCATTCTCCCCTTGTACTCGGCCTTGGTGAGGCCGCAGCTGGAGTACTGCATTCAGTTTTGGGCTCCGCAATTCAAAAAGGATGTGAGAGTCCAGAGAAGAGCCACGCGCATGATCAAAGGTCAGGAAAATAGACCTTACGACGACAGGCTGAGAGCCACGGGGCTCTTCAGCCAGGAAAAGTGCAGGCTCGGGGGTGATTTGATGGCCACCAGTATCTGGGGAACCGTTTGTTCACCAGAGTGCCCCAAGGGATGACGAAGTCGAGAGGTCATAAACTACTGCATGACCGTTTCAGGGTGGACATAAGGAAGAATTTCTTTACTGTCCGAGTCCCCAAGGTCTGGAACAGCCTGCCTTCGGAGGTGGTTCAAGCACCTACACTGAACACTTTCAAGAGTAAATTGGATGCTTATCTTGCTGAGATCCTATGACCCCAGCTGACTTCCTGCCCTTTGGGTGGAGGGCTGGACTCGATGATCTTCCGAGGTCCCTTCCAGCCCTAATGTCTATGAAATCTATACACATGCTCCTGGGTGAAGGGGCAGGCACTTTAATTAGAGCAGCTCCAAGAGCCACTCTGATTAAAGTGCCCACAGCATCACATGTATTCAGTGTCCTATGCTTCAAAATGGCAGTGGGGGTGCTTGAACTAAAGCTCGTGTAACGAGCTTTAGTTCAAGCACCCTGCCGCCATTTTGAAGTTCAAGGATGCTAAACAGACATGACATGGTAGCTGTTCGAGCACATTAATTAAAATGCTCAGATAATTAATGGGGTCTGCTCGGACACATGCTAATTAGCACACGTTGGAGCAGACATCTGGCATGTGTATAGGTGCCCTTTCAGTTTAGTTCAGACATCTTTTACAAAGTCAGAGGTTCAGGCCCTGTGTACTTAATTTAATAATCAAACTGTCTTTTTATAATTTTGCATGTCTGAGGATCTGTTTCTTTTACACAGATCCTTGTGGCCACTATTGCATTTTTATTGCCTAGTGCTGAATACTCTTCTGTGGAAGTGGATAAGAAGGTATGTGGCTTAAAGCACCAACCTTGTATTTGTTTGTGTTATTTGTGGTACTTACTGAATGGAATGCTTTAATCCTGAATCTGTTGTTTTTAACTGCGTAGCTAATGAATGCTTTAATGTTTTCATGAATTTGATGAGTCCTCCTTGCATATTGTTTTTGCATATTTCTGTTTAGTTTATAGTTTCATTATTACTTTGCTTATTGGATTGGTGTATGGCATTACCACTGAAAACCTTACTAGAGCCAGCCTCTGTTGGAGTCCTTGAAGATCAGCATTCATCCAAAGCTCCATTACTGGATTACATATACAGGGTAACTATGAAAGATCAACAACTCATTATGATTCAACCTAGAATACTTTTATATCCCGATAGGCACAGAAGCACCATTTAGCTAGAATTGTGGAAGCATGGGCAATGAAAGCTGGAAGCATTGTCAGAGTGTAGAGAGGAGGCAATATCTCAGTAACATATAAGAAGTCATAGGGTAAGGATAACTTATGTAAGGTTTTGAAAGGCAGGCAAAGTAGTTCGAAGTTGATTTGATGGAGATGCCAGACTCTGGGATGGGATGAAGAGTAAGCCAGGAAAATGATCTTTGCAGCCATGTTTTGACTTATTGCAGTTAGGGTGAGTGCATTTAGCAAGGCTAGGAGAGCACATTTTGCATTTGTCAAAGCACAAGGTGATGATGAGATTAGCATTTCCTAGATTATAGCATATGCTGCTGTAGTAAATAATCAACATCTTTTGTAAGTTTAACTCCTCACAACATTTGCCTTAATTGATGTCTTTATGTACAGTTTATTTCTAGTACTGTTTCTTTTTTTATTCTTGTAGGTTCTGCACTGTTGTGTTTATGGCTCGAGCACATATACACAACAAAGCCATTATATTTTGAGTCTTGCTGATCTCTTATCTAATGACTATGATCCATTTTTGCCATTGGGAAATATCAAGACTTCTGAGCTGGCACCGTCTCTCTCTTCCACTGATTTGGGTAATCTACTCACTGTTGCAGAGGGTAAGGAACTCCACAAACAGCTGCTTACCAGTTGCCAGCATTTCCCTATTTAGCAACTGAAAGATATACTAGAATTCTGTGTAGCTTTTTTAGCTGAAAAATATGCTTGTACTTATCACACACCCAATCCTGTACTTAACAAGAAAATGTTGAGGTTGAATATATAGTCAGGATCAATTTATGTAGGTGTATTCATTATAGATTTGTGTGTCTTGCCAGTCACTCATTTACAGTCCTAAAAGGAGGCCTCCATTAGTAGTAAATAGGTCTTTATTCATCTTAGTGGATATTATTAATTCATACAGATTAAATTAACTTTTAGAGCAGTGCAACATTTCATTTACTACCTTACATATGCAAAAACATAGGAATTAAAAACATGGATGCACTATAAAGATGTGCAGGATAATGCTACATGCAGTATAAGGATGTGCCAGATAATGGTAGACTTCCTGTGGTATCTTGACATGCAGTACCCTGTGTGAGTTACTGGAACACATTTTTATCACTGTGTAATGTTTTCTTTTTAATCCTTTTGTGCCTGTGGGGTTTTTTTAGTTTAACAAAAATGTTATAAACATTAAAACCTGTTGTTCTGTGCACATTTCTTGCTAAGTGGGTACATTTTGTGAAGAGCAGAAAGATAAAAATAGATACAAGGTAGATTGGTCATTTAGGTAGAACAAAATGTTTCTCTTCTTGAATATGTTTGTGCACATTCTGTTTGGCTTGTCCAAAATGAAATGGGTACAGAGAAGGGCTGCAAGGGTGATTGTGGGACTGAAGAGCCTTTCTTATAAGAAGTTTGGCTTGCAAAATGAAGGCTAAAAGAGTATATCGTTGCTTTCTGTCAATACCTGAGAGGGGAAAATACCGGGGAGGGAAAAGAGCCATTTAAGGTGAAGGAAAAAGTGTGGCCAACAGCAAATGTGTATGAATTGGCCATTAATATATTTCGGCTGGAAATTAGAAGGTTTTCAGCTATCTGAAACAGCTTCCTAACAGGAGTAGCACAGACCAAACATCAAGCAAGTTTTAAGATAATGCTTAATCAATTTACAAAAGGGGTCATATCATGGAGGGCCCTTCCATGCAGAGGTTTCTGTTCTTTTTTTTTAGTCCTCGGCTGCTTTCCACCTAATGTTTAAAAATGCAGGAAATATCCCTTTCATTTGTTACCTGCTTATTACCTACCATCTCGCACACCTTTGTTAGATCTGGCCATATCAATATAGTAGACTTAATCAAGTCAGAGGAAAATAGAAATGTTGCTGTTACAGCTGTTATAGTAGCAATAGGCATTGTAGGAGCACTCAGTGTGTATTGTTCAAATTATAATACCAGGATAGGCTGAAAATAAAGTATTAGTTTTATAAGGTAACTAGCTGCAATAATTAAAGTAAGCTAAAACATTAAAATTATTGATTTTTTTTTTTCCCCCACCATTTGAAAACATGGCAGCTTGAACTGACTGTTATTTTTATATTACCATATTCACTTGAATCCAAGACAAGGTCTTTATTCCCCATTCAACTTGGGGGAAAAATAATCTTTGTCTTGGATGTAAGTACAAGGGGCAGAGGGAGGGGGCAGCAGCTGCCACTCTGACCCTGAACCCAGAGTCGGAGTGGCAGTTGCTGCCCCTGCCATCTATTACCCACACCCTCTCAATTTCTCATCTTTTGATCTTTTGTATTTTCTACCTTGTAATTGCCCACACAGAGTAATATGCACTGGTATAGGATACCTTTGCCTATCTCCTTTGATTCATAGAGGGAGGATAAGTTCCATTAGCTCTTTACCTTTCAACATTATCTATGGAGTCTAAGGCGTTTTTCTCTTTTTGAGGGCAGGCTGCATGAAAATACTCATACAGGAATAATCTTAAGAAAAGCAAAGTGTATTAAAATAGAGAAAATGGAAGCAAAAGATTTGTTTTTAGATTTGCAATTCTTAAAATTATGAGACATGTTCCGTTCAGTTCAGTTATATATCATGAGAGCAACCCTCCCCTCTCCCCCTGCCTTGCACAAATGCATTGTTTTCCCTACAGGAATCACTGCTGTTTAGAGAAAGGTATCTCCCTCTTCCCCTCCTTCCCAAAACCTTACCAAAACCATCCCAGATGCACACTTTCCAGGCCAATTGTCTCTACCTCACGATACACACAACAGAGAAGCAAATTCAAATGTCACTTTGAAGACATGTCATAGAGAAGAGGTATATTACTGAGCTGTCATTATTAGCCTTCTTTCAGAAATTTAATGGCATAGTTAATTCACCAGCTTTTACAGGGTTGCTTGCTGAGTAATACCTAGTTTTGGTCAGTCCTTTTGCTAAAACTTGAAGCAAGGTTTGTTCATTCTTTTTGTCTCCGTCTACCTCTCTCTCTCCCCTTATGTACAAGGACCCATATTTCTTGCATAAAAAAATCCTTGCTTCTTGGACAAGGACCCAGGCATTTTCATGATAGGGTTCAGCTGCGTTTTATTGCTGCATGTTGGAGTGAATTTGAAGCCTGTTAGGTTTCAGCACTGAAATAAAAGCTAAATGCTTGACTCTGTCAAATTTTTTTTTACTCATAGTTATTGTAGAGTATGGAGGAATAATGTGTATTACTTCTAACTATCCTATCAGTTTACTGCTTTGTTATTAACCTGCTGGAATACCTAAAAGAAACTACAGAGCTGATTCTCTCTCAGTAGAAACCACAAGTATACAGATACTTGGGATTTTCTTCCACAGCAAAAATGGCCACTCCAAGAGAAAACCCAGAGACAACCATATTAAATTGCTCCCAAGAGAGTTTCCCCTGGGAGACTGAATGTCTGTACACTTCCTTTTCTGAAAGAAGCCACAACGCAGTCTTTCAACATACTAAGGTGCTTCACCCCCTGCTTTCCCCCCAGGAGATGGTATCACTTGGGCTGGATCCTACAGCTCCAGGTGAGCAGGGAGCAGAACACGCCCCTTTCACCATCCCCATATTGTGCTGCAAGGAGACCCAGGCTGATCCCAAGCAGTCTGAGTCAACCAGTCCAGGCTGCCCTGTGCCTCTGGCATCTGTCTTCAGGCAGACTGAGGGAGCTGACAGAGCATGCTGAGATGTGTGAACAGAGGGCTCCTGGCTGTGCAATGTCAGTGCTGCTAGCTCTCTGCTCCTTATGGGCTCAGCATCCAAATATCTGTTCAGACATCTCTAAGTTAGTTTTTTCTATCAAGAAAACAAACCCAGGAGAATTCCACCAGATTATTTGGGTGTATGTATGCATGCAGCCTAACAGAAATGAAACAATGGGAAGGATAAAATATTATCCTAAAGAATACCAAGGGATTTTAGGGAAACAATGGAAAAGCTTTTAAGTGGAAAATAACACTCCCCCTCACTGCCCCCCTCCAGGATGGTGCCCACTAGGGATGGCACAGATTATTCTTTCTAGGACCAAAGGGCATTTTAAATCAGAAAGATGTCACCCTAGGAAATAAATCAGTAAATAAGGATGCTGAATGGGTCATCAGCAAAGATTGAAACTGAGAGACTTAAGCCAGAAAATATGTTTCAGCCAATCAAGCTGTCCCTTCCCACCCAGAGAGAGAGGTAATTGGACTGAAACAAGCTTAAAAGTTTGCAAGGAAAGATTAGGTCTTAAGTATGGGGAAATATTTCTAAAGACTTGTATTGCTTAAACATTTGGCTTTGAATATTCTCTATCTTGAAATAAAAGAATAAATAATGCTTTGTTTTGAAGAAGCTGTTTCTCTGTGATTGCAAATTTATTCTGTCACAGGCTTGTGATGGAAAACGGCTTATGGTGCCAAACTCAGTTGAGTTGGTCAGCAAACAGGAGCTATAGCCCAGAGATCCAGTGAGAGTGATAGCTTTATGTGTTTCTACCCAGGTAGGTAGCCAGATGTACTCAAAGGCTCTGAAAAGGAGGTAAAGCACAGCTCATCCATAACTGGCATTCTTCTTCTAGACATTAATCTGATCTGGACAATAAATTATATGCTGTAATATTTAATATTATGTAACAAAACTTCATAGAGCCACAAAGAATGTTTAAAAGCAATTATCTGTTCAACATTTTTAAAGATGTAAATCATTGAATAGATGTTAAAGCTATCTACTAAGAGAGGTGTTAGAGCTCACCTCTGGAGGGTGGAAGGAGAGGAAATACCTCACAACCCACTTCTGTTATGTCTTGCAAATGAGTGGAATACATCTAAACCATTGTGTTGGAGGGAAGGCAGCTACTTTGTGCCTTTGAGGAGGAAAGATATTTAGTAAAGTTCAGTAGTCTCAAAAGCTCCTCTCTTCAAAAGTCCTAAAGAATTAAAACCATGAGATTTATGTTGACACTGGCTGTTTTATTCAGTAGTCCAAGTTCTCCTACATATGCTTTTCTACCATTGTCCTGGATCTCCAACATAGAACTTGCTCCCTACATTCAGTGCCTCATTCTGAAGAGTGTCTTCTTAAAGGCTATCACATTAGCCGGGAGAGTGAGCAAGTTATAGACGCTTATGGCCTCCTGTGACATTACAGAAAGGTAATATTATAGTAGTATTACTATACTACTACAGTAATCCATGAGGTAGTACTATAATACTACACCGAAAAATTCATTCCTAAATTGGGCTCAGAATTTCATGTAAACCAAATAAATTGTCTATGAAACTCTTTAAAACATCATCAAGCCATGGCCTCATGGAGACTATCAAAACCGTGACCTTGAACAAGCATTCAAACAAATGTTCATTTCTAATAATGGAAAGCTGGATGTCTTAAGAGAGGGAGCAGTATAGGCATGCAGCTGCCCCCTCTGCCCTGCTCTCCATGCTTTCCCCAGAGTGGAGAGCTTTGGCAGCTCCAGTCCCCTCCTACACTGATCTGCGGAATGGGTGGGGGACTTTGCCCTGCTGCTCCACTCCCCTACCAGATTGGACTGGAAGGGGTGCGTTCATTCTTGCAAGAGTTTCTTTCACAGGGGAGCTCCAGA